CTTTGACAACCATAGTGTCTTTGAAACTAATTTTTGTGTAACGTAACTTCTATATCTGCCACATAAACCGTAAGGAAAGGAAGCAAAGAATTTAACATGTGCACCACATTTATTAAGAGGCTACATTTCAGCCTTAGCATGTCATTTCAAGGATTAAGACGATGAAACATAGGGACAGACGACAGACTGACAGACGCGTAAATGTTGTTTTTAAACCAGATTTAGAATTGGAGAGGGAAGGAGGGACACGGGGGAGGAGGGAAGGGGGCGGAGATACTGAGGGACGGTGGGGCAAAGAGGAAGAGGAAGGGGGTGCCACTGAGAAGGAGGGAAGGGGGGGCCACTGAGGAGGGAAGGAGGGGGGGGTCACTGAGAAGGAGGGAAGGGGGGGGTCACTGAGGAGTAGGGAGGGGGCGGGGACATTAAGGAAGAGGGAAGGGGGTGGGAGCACTGAGGAGGAGGGAAGAGGGAATAAGGCAGTTATACTGAGGAGGGAAGGAAGCAGGGAAACTGAGGAGGAGGAAAGGGAGGGCATACTGTGGAGGAGGGAAGGGGATGGGGAGATTGAGGAGGAGGGGAGGGGGTGGGGAGACTAAGGGTGAAGGAAGGAGGATGGGACAACGAGAATGGAAAGGAGACGGAAACACTGAAGAGAATTGGAAAGGCGGTGAGGGGACACTGGGGAGAAAGGGAGGGAGGGGAGGGGGAACATTGAGAAGGAAAAGGAGACGGAGGAGCAGGGAAAGGGGACGGCAGCCTGAGCAACAGACCCAAACCTGGCTTACATAACGTCTATTGACACGGATCAGCGGTAGGAAAATTGTAACTTCTCCGGAATGTTCTAGAAATGTTTCACGAGTTATGGACAGTAAAGGTCGGAGCTAAATATATACTTCACTTTTCTACGATCCGTCCTCGAACGAAGTATATCTGGTACAGAATTAATATCCTATAATGATGGGATTTAATGCGTTGCGTGAACATGAACTAAGGTGCTATTTCGTTCCAAGGTACAAATCGCAGGGCATATCGATGTTGGCCACGTAATGTGCGCATACCAGTAAGACATGTCGAAAACACAGAGAAAATAGCTATGTGTCTGCTCTGTTGCAAGACACTGCCAGCTCAATGTTGCACCATATTCAATTTTTTGTGCTGCTATGGGAAGCAAATTTCAGAGTTAATATGGTCAGTGTAAAAAAAACAGTAATGCATGAGACCCAATGATTTCAAATGAAATAGTTTCCCTTTTTTTCTTAAGCAAAGATTTTTCGACACTACAGATATAAGAAAACAATGCCTTCTAGTTTTTTGACTGTAGAAACTAATAATAATACAATGTAAAAAGGACCGCGAATGGCTTCTTAAGACCATGAGCATAGTGATTTTTCCGTCTATTGATCTATTGACACATGTTACACACACACACACACACACACACACACACACACACACACACACACACACACACACACACACACACACACACACACACACACACACACACACACACAGAAAAATTAGTATGCTCACGGTCTCAGACGGAGATAGACAGAGAGAGAGAGAGAGAGAGAGAGAGAGAGAGAGAGAGAGAGAGAGAGAGAGAGAGAGAGAGAGAGAGAGAGAGAGAGAGAGAGAGGAAGAGAGAGAGAGAGAGAGAGAGAGAGAGAGAGAGAGAGAGAGAGAGAGAGAGAGAGAGAGAGAGAGAGAGAGAGAGAGAGAGAGAGAGAGAGAGAGAGACAGAGATACAGAAAAAAAAAACAGACTGAGAAATAGACACAGAGATACAGAAAAAAAAACAGACAGAGGGAGAGAATACGAGGGAGAAAGCCCCCTGCAAAATCCCATGAAAAGGATCCAGTGAGGTCCGCCTTGTCCTCGCCTTCTCCCTGGAGCCCAAGGTACTACTCGAGGAACAAAGCAGTTATTATCCTTCGAATTGAAACAAATTACTTACGGTCTCACTTGAGTACGCGCTCATTAGCATAAGGAAAGACACGGAAATATGTGAAAGAGAGAGAGAGAGAGAGAGAGAGAGAGAGAGAGAGAGAGAGAGAGAAGAGGGGAGAAGAGAGGAGAGAAGAGAAGAGAAGAGAGAGAGAAGAGAGAGAGAGAGAGAGAGAGAGAGAGAGAGAGAGAGAGAGAGAGAGAGAGAAGAGGGGAGAAGAGAGGAGAAGAGAAGAGAAGAGAAGAGAGAGAAGAGGAAGGAGAGAGAGAGAGAGAGAGAGAGAGAGAGAGAGAGAGAGAGAGAGAGGAGAGGAGAGAAGAGAAGAGAAGAGAAGAGAAGAGAAGAGAAGAGAAGAGAAGAGAAGAGAAGAGAAGGGGAAGGACAGAGAAAGAGAGAGAGAGAGAGAGAGAGAGAGAGAGAGAGAGAGAGAGAGAGAGAGAGAGAGAGAGAGAGAGAGAGAGAGAGAGAGAGAGAGAGAGAGAGAGAAGAGAAGAGAGAAGAGGAAGGAGAGAGAGAGAGAGAGAGAGAGAGAGAGAGAGAGAGAGAGAGAGAGAGAGAGAGAGAGAGAGAGAGAGAGAGAGAGAGAGAGAGAGAGAGAGAGAGAGAGAGA